CAAGAAGGCCAATGGTACCTTGGGGTGAAGAGTGTGGCCCATTGGTCGAGGGAGGTTCTCCTCCCCCTCTGCTCTGCCCTGGTGAGGCCACATCTGGAGTGCTGTGTCCAGTTCTGGGCTCCCCCATTCAGGAAAGACAAGGGACTACTGGAGAGAGTCCAGTGGAGGGCAACGAAGATGATGAGGGGCCTGGAGCATCTCCCTGATGAGGAAAGGCTGAGGGAACTGGGTCTGTTCAGCCTGGAGAAGAGCAGACTGAGAGGGGATCTCATCAATGCTTAGAAATACCTTAAGGGTGGGTGTCAAGAGGATGGGGCCAGACTCTTTTCAGTGGTGCCCAGTGACAGGGTAAGGGGCAACAGGCACAAACTGAAACCCAGGAAGCTCCATCTGAACATGAGGAAGAACTTCTGTACTTTGAGGGTGGCAGAGCCCTGGCACAGGCTGCTCAGAGAGGCTGTGGAGTCTCCTTCTCTGGAGATACTCAAAATCGCCTGGAGGCGATCCTGTGCAACTTGGTGTAGGTGACCCTGCTTTGGCAGGGGGGTTGGACTGGATGATCTCCTGAGGTCCCTTCCAACCCTGACCATTCTGTGATTTAAGCCCCTCAGAAGAAAGCTAAGCACTTCCTTACATCTTGACAAAGACGAGCCTTCACCTCTCAAGATCTCATGAAATGCAGCCAGCTCTTTCAGTCACTTCTACGTAGAGGCCCAAAGCTACTAAATTAAACGTCAGGCTCCAAATGCATTTTTTCAAATGCATGAGAAAATGCCAGAGTGTCTCATCCCACTGTAGGGATATCACTGACAAACACCCATCACAGTCTTTCTGAGTCACGGCACAGAATTAGCTTTTTACGGAGACATCACACAAGTCTGACGTTATGCGGGACACGCACTGAGCAAATCCCCGAGGAGGCAGCTCCTGCCCGACCGCCCCAGGAAGAAATAGAGGGGACAAGGAAGGAACAAGAAGGAAATGTGAGAGAGAACTCATCAGCCCACGGTTACGCAGCAAGTCGTGCTTTGGCCCAAATCCCAGCCACTCAAGGTGAACAACTTTCATTCTGAACATTTTCATCCAGCTTTCACAATAGCTTATTATTTCATGGTGCTGCTGAGCAATGTTTGCCTTTCTCCTCTGCGCCCTGGGGATCTTTCCCAGATCCAAATTTCCAACACTGAAAATACAAGGCCTTGAAACCAGGAACACAGTAAAGTCACTTGAAAAGGAAAAAAAGCCTCAGCATTCAATGCTTAGGCAGGTGTAGTCACTGCGAACCAATTTTGCAGTCTCTTTAGCTGCTTCACAACACAAACACAACTGTGCCAATGACTGAGTGATTCCAAATCTCTTTAGAGCATTTAGCCATGTACCAGCCACACGTGTTTTTAGAGCTATGATTATATGTCTTTTAGATTGAGCTTCCTTGTTTTATGTGAGGGCTTCAAACCTGGGTGCTTGAAGACAAAAAAAGCAAGATGCCTAAAAAATAAAGACAACACAGTTGGCAAGGAAATCTGCCCCCAGGCAAAAGAATCCCAAGATAAACCAAAAGTGAGATGCCATGAGGAAGATCCACCTACTGTGCACAGGGGGAAGGGGAAAAGCAAACCTGTCTCAGTGCTGCCCAGCCTCCCCCTTCACAGATTCCTCTTAGCAGCTTCTTACTAATATATTCTGGCTACAGTCATTACGTTTCCTTTCCAGACCTCTGGCAAATTAATTTAAAAGGAAGTTAAAAAGCTCCTTGCTCCAGCAGAAAGGACCAGAGTTGTTAGTACGTGCTCAGCTCCCACTAGAAAGTAAATTTGGAAAACAGCAACACTCACCTCCGCAAGGTAAAGGATGCAGAATTTACGATCTTCTGAACCTATAAACAAGAAAAAAACAAGATCAAAATTAAGCTACAACTGCATTTTTGCAAGCAGAGCCACCGGCAGAGGAACTGGCTAGGAGACAGCATTGAATGAATATTTATTGTTGTCATCCTACAGTACCAGGCTGCGATCTGGGAGTGATGTGTGCTGCATCTGCAGGGGCCATGCGCTGGGCAGGCCACATTGCACAGTATCTTGCATGGGCTCACTGCGCTATCATGGATTCTCCTTTGGCTTCGTCCTTTTGCAAAAAGGTGTGTTTGAAATTCAGAGGCCACATGCAGGCTCTTCTGCCCAACCTGCCATGGCACACGCAGCCCGATTCCTTCCCGGGGGTTACAGAAGCCCCACAGTGCCCACACAGCCATCCTGGGCACTGGGGTCGGGTCTCTCCCATCCTACCTCTGTGGATGCTTTGCTCCCAGGAGAACTAACCAGAGCAGCTCCTGTTCCTACGTCCTTGCTCATTCCCAGCTTCTTGCCCCAAGCCCTTGGTAAGGCTGGTGGTAGCTCTGTCTAGTGCTGCCTGTCCCAGGCTCCACCAGCAGCAGTAGGTGAGTCAGTGCCTCTCCAAGGAGATGGAGCCAAATCCCAGGGCAATGGGAAGCAGCTGACACAGGGCAGGGAGGAGAGCTCATCCTGCTCCATCGGGCTGAGGGCAAACTCCCCAAGCTCCCACCACTCAGGAGACCTGGCCTTCGGGAAAGGAGATGGTGCTGGAGGCAATGCAATGACCAACGTTGCGATCTACATCTTGCGAATTCATGGAGCAGCCCAGTGCAGCTCCTCATCTTGCTGCCAGCTGTCCCAGGGGACGCGTTACACTCCAGCTGCTCCACCAGACTGGTTCCTGCAGGCCTAGTCTTCCCCATACCCAACAAAAAGACATTCCTGAAGATTTATCCTGGTCTTTGATCCCTGCTGGTGAGACACAAGTGTCTCCAGTCTCAAGGGAAGCCAGCTCCTGGCATACATCAGCCTTGCAGGAAGACACGAAGCTGCCACAGGTCAGGGTGACCTCAACTCTGAAGCAGGACATCCCAAATCCTGAAGCCAGCTCCCTCCTTCGTACCAGCATGCCCTGCACCAGCTTTGCCCTTGGTAGCATGAAGCAACGCTGGGCTGTGGCTTTCATAACCCTTTTAATGACATTATGCCTGCCATGAGATCAGATGTGCAGTCTGGGCACGGCCGCAGATCCTATTCAAAGTGGTGTCAGCACAAGCTCTGCTTCATTTCAACAGCCGGAGCTGCACTGACGATGGGAACAGGCTCTGTTCAGTGGTGGAAACACCTTGTTCCCCAGAGGAAAGCAATTCTTCTGCCGCAGGCAGCAGCCCAAATGTCAAGATAAGACCTGTGACCCGCTGAGGGACTCGGATGCCCCTTGAGTCACTCCATGGGCAATGCAAAGCCCATGAAGAAGCGCACTGGCCTGGAGCCATTTGCTGGATGTCTCTTCCAGCTGCCCTTTTGGGGATCACAGGCCTGACTCCGCTGCCAGCTTCGCTTTTAACGCACATTGCAGGATACGGGCTGGGACATCACTACACCATGCCCATACCACAGCGGCTGCTGGAGCCCAGCACCAACCGGGAACAGTGCTGCGGACCTCTCGGATGAGGAGCCCTTGTGTGTTCCCATATGCTTCACTCTGCTCCACCCTGGGCAATGCGAGGGTCAGGGAAACAGCCTGGCCCTGGGGCTGCCAGCCAAAGGGCTCCAGCACTGCCCCTCCAAATCTTCACTTCCAGAAGGGGAGCGATGCCGCATCCTGAAAGCACATGCTGAACGGGCCTGGCTGGGAGCCTGTGTCTCACCTCTGCACCACAGAAAAACCATCCACTACTCCCCATGGCAATGCCTGAGCTCTCCCGGCACCCTCTTCAATAAATCCCGGCAGGACCATCGGGGAGCATTTTCCTTGCTAAGCCGAAGCCTCTGATGGGAGCCTCTCAGCCAGTGCTTTTCCCCTCAAGGGAGGGTTTGGAGGCAGGATCCAAGCCTGCTGCCAGCACCCCACGAGTCCACCATCCCCTTCTGCTGCTTCTGCTTCCCAAGGGGTCAGCACCACAAAAACACTCCATCTTTTCAACCGGGCTCTCTGCTCCTGCCTGCACCACGACCAAAGCTCTCCAGGCTGCCGATTGCAGAAGACCAATATGTCCCAGCCACTTTCCCTCAGGAGCTTTAGCCAGGCTTTCCTGGCTGACGTGAGGAACAAGTCACCCTCTAGAGACACGCTCCCTCAGCAAAGAAAGGTGACATCGGAGTTTAACAGCCTGGGAATGACTCCGCTTCTCTTAGGCCTCTGCTTATTCCTTCAGCAATAACAAGTGATCCCGACAAAGCCCCAAACCATCAGAATTAAGTTCCTTTCCAAATTCCTCTCTGTTGAGCTAGGAATCTTGGCATTGCCAACCTCCACCACCAGCAGCTCCTGTCCCCTGTCCCTTTGAGGCTTGCTGCTACACATGGTCAAGCAGTCCAGTGCCTACAGGACACACAAAGGAGGGAGCCAGCCTAGGCTAAGGAACTGCTTAAATCCCTTTTTTGACCAGTAACTGCCTTTAGAGAGAAAGCAAATGGGAGATAAGAGACCGGCTGCCCAGCCCAGCAGCTGGGCTTGAGCCAGTGCCAATCCCCGGCAAGGCACAAGGGGAGGCAGGAAAGCGATGGCAAAGCCAGGAAAGGCAGACCCGAGCGCAGATTTCAGCACAAACCAGGTTTGCCAGGATTTCTTCCACCAGAGCTTTCTCCAGTCTCCGGAGGGTCAAGCAGGAACACCGGAGCCTACCATGCCCCGGAGCCGTATGATGTGCTCTGCTCATCTCCTGCACCGCAGATCACAGAGGCCACGAAAGACAAGGGGAGAGGCAGGACCTCGTGCCGAGGAAGAGGCAGCCAGCTGTCCGGGCTAACCTGGGGCTCCGTTCCCCACACAGAGCTACGTCTGCACCTTTTTTGATAGCTGAACAGCGCATACTCTCAGCCAAATTCAGCTAAAAGGAAATAAGGAGGAAGAAAAAAACTCACTTGAAGATATTTCAGTTTCTTCCTGACATGTTGTGACGGGGACTGGCTTGTCTTTCACAGTAACTTGAACCGTTCCTGCCCCAGGGCTGGGCCGCTGCGTGTGCTCACCACAGACAAGAGGAGGGTGCGAGTTTTGTGGGGACACGTCCCCCTCTCCAGTTAAGCCTCATCCCGCACACCCGTGCTGACGCGGGGGGCAGGCACTTACGCAGCTCCCAGCACAGCAGCAGCTTTCAGCGCTGCCCTGGCTCTGCCCACCTCCCTGTGCAACCCAAGGAAAACACCCGCTGCTTCCAGGATTTGGATGGTTCACGCCAGGTATTGGGTCAAAAACCTGGGAAAATAGGGAGATGGTCCTGCTGCTTTCCACAGCCTCTTTGCACAGCCCAGGAGACCACGGCACCCTGCTCCCCAGGGCCTTCGCATCTGCTCAGAGAAGATGGGACCGCATCCAGTACCCAAAGAGGAGCTCACAGAGCAGGGTGCTGTGGGGCCTTGGGTGCCTAGGGAGAGAGGAAGGCTATTGTGCACATCCAAACCTGGCTGCCAAGAGGTGACAAGCTTGTCACCCTCTGTGGCACATGTCCCTGGGGAGGCGTGACAGGGTGCAAGCCCTGGGTGCTTCCCAGCATCCTTGGGGTAGCAGGGAGAAACTGTTGCAGGGCAGAAGGCTCATAAATCACACTCTTGGCCTCTGACTATCTTGGAGCTGTTTGCTGTAAGATACGGCGGGTCGGGATGTCAGGGACAGCAAAGCAGCACGTGAAAAGTCCTTGTTTGCAGGATCCCAGCTGGGGATGGGGCTCACAGCCTGAGGGTCCTCATTCCAGCTGCAAAACAGGAGCGCTTTTCTCTGTCCCAAAGCTGAGTGCACCCACCCAGGGGAGCCAGGATCCCAGCGAGGAAGCAACCTTCACGTGGAAATTCCCACAGTATCCAGTGAGGAAGCCAGCTCTGTCGCACTGGAAACATTGGCTGGTGTGGTGCTCATCAGCCATGCTCGGCTTCTAAAGCAGGAAGACAGAGCATTGTAAAGCAGATTATACTGATTTGCTTTCGCACAGTGCAGCAAGAGGCAGAAACAGGAAACATCACAATGGTCTTCAGTGTACCGGAGATGTCTCAATTGTTATACTCAGCAATACGCCTGTTCCTATTAATGTGCCATTCAGTTATTTAGGAGACCAACCGAAAATCCCTGCCAAAAGGGACGGACATCTTTTTGCTCGTTCCACCCGCCTTTGAAGCAGCCCTGCCCAAACCAGGAGGGTGAGCTGCCTGAAAACTGACTGTGCTGGATTCCCAGCGTACAGGGGGTGGGTTGGTGCTGCAGAGACAAACATCCCCTTCGGAGAGGCTTGTTAAGCCATTCCAGATGAGATCCAGCCAAGTTATTATGGCAATAAGGAAAGAAGTGGCAGAAAATCGCTCACGAAATCCAACTGCTCTGCCTGAGGTTAGGAGGCGTGCTTCTGTGCCGAGCTGCAAACAGACCTTCATGCACGGAGCCGGGACCAGAACCAGGGAAGTTGATTTCTTCAAGGAGCTGAACAAGAGGAGGGTTATTCAACAGTCTTTGAGAGCAGCCAGGGGTGACACACACGCACACTCCAGGAGCAGATGCTGACCAACAAGCACTTCAACAAGGAACAATTTCTTTTGTCCATTTCTTAGAAATAAGCAGCGCTGAGAACAAACTCAAACAACCCCAGGGAAGCTTCAATGGCTTTTTTAATGGCTCATGCCATGGTGCCCCATCTCCCTCACCGTGTTTCTGCCCCCACCAAATAGGTCAGTGATTTAATCTGGGAGCAGAAACGTTGTTGGAAATGGGAAATAACAACTGACAGGCAGCCTGTGGTGTCCAGCACAGCACTGCAGATCCCCAGCACTGAGGCTCACAACAACGTGGGGCATGTGGAGAGACACAGCCCATCCACAGAGCTCACAGCTTGGCTGGGGAAAGTCACGGGAAGTGGCAAAATTCATCCAGAAAACGATCCCTTTGGAGAAGCAGCCCAGATCTGGATTAATCCCTTTTGGTCAGGGCCACAGGACTGCATAAAGACAGTTCATACAGTTACACAGTAGTTCGGGTTGGAAGGGGCCCTTTTGGTGGTCTCTAGAGTCCAAGCCCCTGCCCAAAGCACCCAGATCAGGGTGCTCAGGGCCCTGCTCAGTTGAGTCCTGAACACCTCCAGGGATGGAGGTTCCATAGCCTCTCTGGGCAACTGAATATTTGACCAACCTCACCATAGAAAAGTTTCTCATTGTATCTAACCACACTTTCCCGTGTCAAGTCCTGGTTCAGCGACATCCACTGCCTGGGCTCGAGGAGGAGCCGGGGCTCAAGCCCCATGCTGATGCAGTCGGGCGACTGTACACAGAACAAGTCTGTACCCAAAAAGCAACTGCACCAAAGACGGAACAAGGTGAGACTGGACTCGGGGCCAAGAAGTAGGATGTGGTAGAGCAGTTTGTTCACTCCTCTTCCGACCCTGAGTAGCTACAAGTCGTCTTTTGTATAGATTCTCAGCATGTCAACTTGAAATAACCCCCTGCCCTAGAAGCCCTCTCTGAGCCCTCACCTGGATGTAGAAGCCCAGCCAAGGTGAAGAGAGTCAGGGCATGGTCCACAGCCTCCCACCAAGAGCAAGGTTTGCTCTTTCCTCGCCAATGGGGTGTGCATGGGGGAGGGTTGCTAGCACGGGGGGAAACCGTGGGTGGCTGAAGGGAGAAGTAGCAAAGTAAAGGTCAGCGGGGCTTAGCCAGACTCCCTTGGAGACAACCTCTGAACTTTCTCGAGGCACCATGGGGGAAACCTCAAGACTTCACTTCCCTTTCTCAGCCTCGGCAAGCCCCCGCTGTAGACAGGGTAACACCAGCAAGGGAAGAGCCCAGCACGGAGAGACCCTGGGGAATGCCAGCCCAAAATCCCCGAGAGAGGCACCCAAAAAGCTCTGGAAAGTGGTGCTACCTGAGCACCCCAAGGTGTCCCAGGGGATGGAGCTCCCAGGGACTGGGTTAATGCAGAGATGGAAAGGTTGATGCTGGCCCTGCACCCCCAGGAAGGATGATCTGGCAGCACCGGTTGGATGGTACCATTACATAATGGAAGCGCTGGGATAGTGGGGTGCTATCCTACTACTGGCCAGAAACCTTTATAGTCAGTGGCCCAGAAGATGCCCCAGCTGTCTCCAACTGCTGCTGCAGACACTCACCCTCCTGGAGCCTGACACTCTGCAGGTAGAGAGGGTTCCTCAGCACGTTGCAGCGCCCAGGCTCATCCTCCTTGGTGAAGAGCAGCAGATCAGAGTAGACAAAGAGGGTCACCTAGAAGCACAAGGGCAGCAAAGCAGCTGTAAGAAATTCATCTCTTGGCACTGGAAGAGTGTCCTGGAAAGGTCCTCTTCCCTGGGAGATGCACCAGCCGTGACAGACAGCCCAGGCACCCCTTCCCTAAGGCGCTGATTGCTCAGGGTGCTCCCAGCAATCTGAGGATGAGGCTCACCCCACTCAGCAGCCACCTCCCAAGGCTTGTGGAGTCCCGTGACAAGAGGGATAAACCTGCCCGACAGTTTAACTCCACGCAAACATTCCCCTTCTGCTCTCTTGTGTCACTGCCCATTTACATAAGTTATAAATCAGAGGAGCAGGAGGAGGGAATAAGTTGCCAACTAATCCTAGCACACTGTGGAAGTTGCAACCTAAAAGCAAAAGTGATCTCCCTGACCACATTCACAAAGGAGCTTCTCGCTGTTCTCAGCGCTCCCTTGAGAAAATAACAGTTTGGCTTTTACAACAGCAGAACCCACGAGAGCAGCTGCAGGGAACAAACTTGACACCTTTAAACCACGCTGATGGGTGGAAAGCAAACGCTGAACCGTGTGTCTGCCCAGCTCTGTGCTTGAGCAGCGACTCAAGTGTCCTAGAAGCTGGGAGCTACTCCAGAGCAGTGACAAGTGCTCACAACTCAAAAGGTAGATTTTGTTCTGCCTCTGCCTCTTGCCCGAGGTCCCAAATTCAATCACAGTACAGATCAGTGTGATCTTTAAAATAAGAAGAATGAGCTTCTCCACTGTACTGGAGATCCTTGACCCAGAAGCCTACTGGGGATGAGTAGCTTGGAGCAATCACTATGCCAGTAGCGGAGGTTTGAGCCTGTCCTGCTCCCCAGCAGAAGTTGGGGGCATGCAGCAAAACCTAGAAGATGCCAGGAAGCGGCTGGAATATGCCAGCGGGCATACTGGATGCCA